ACGGACTAAGGGAATTTACAGAATCTTATATGACCAATTTGTAATTCATAGGGATTATTCGAAGGAGGACTTTAATCCAATGAGAGCTCAATGTAAGTTACAGAGCAATATAATGATAAATTAAGAAAACACCTAAAAAATCTATTTCGTTTATAATTTATTTCATGAATATTGTTATATTCATCCCCTCAGAGCGAATATTTTTCAGATATATATATAAATGCGTTTAAAAAGAATAAAATGAAATTCGACTGAAAGAAAAGCTAAGAAAAATAATAACCCAATGATTCTTAATGATATCGAACTACGAAATCTGACACGATAGTTTTACGATGAATAGCTATATAGTAAATTGTACAACAGTCGCCATTTTAATTTTCTTGCGATTATTTAAGTCAACGTTTCAAAAACTATTACCGCGACCCAAAACTGGGTGACGGAAAAGAATATTTAAGTAAAATTCGAACTGAAATTAGCCACTTTTTTCTTCTTTTGCTCAACATTGTTTCTGCTGTATCGGAATTGAGTGTCTGTGGCAAGAATTGATGGAATGGCGTTTCCGTCTACTGTTATTGTTTGAATAAATTATTTTGATCTGCATCAGCGCTGGCCTCCAGCAATCATGCTACCTCTGAATGTTCAAAACATTCATCCATTTGGCGCTTAATCTTTCAATTTCGGTGTTAGAAATCCGCGAGAAATGGCAATTTCGAAAAATTAGTGGGGAAAATTGAATTTAGCTCTGACAGAATGCCTCCAAACAATAATCAAAGATCTGTAAGAACTCACTCATTTCCTTCTATCTTTCAAAATATTTTCCCTGCGTGCCAGATCGTTGATAATATATTCTAAAATAGTTCTTATTTGCAATTCAAATCTGTGTTCAATTGTGAGATTGAACCGCTGTCATATTAAAGGCAAGGATGAATCTGCTTGTAAGCGTGTCAAATTTCACGTTTTTATCCTTTCATTAATGCAGTTCAGTAGATCACTCTAGTGTTTGCATTATTTATATGCAAACTAATGTGTTCATCTCATATATATATATATATATATATATATATATATATATATACGTTTCATTAAATAATATAGACAAGTGTTGTCTATTTATTTTATGTAAAATTTTTTCGTATCTTCTGATAAGTTTTATAACATTATCATTAACCGAAAAAAGAAATTCACAATATTTATCCATTATTTTTTAATAAAATCTAAGCTTTCGGCTTACTCAAGCCATTATCAAAGATGTAAATGCAAACATATCAAACAATATACGGACACGACAGTGATGATATAGTCTGTCATTGTTTTGTTTACATAGTGGATCACTAAGCAACGATGAACACGCGCATATAAGATATATATAAATATATATATATAAGGTCATCCCATAAGTTCTGTCCGAATTTTAACTTTTTGTTATGAACGAAATTTAAAGAGTATTTTATAATGACTAATGGAACTGAACATTATTTTTATGTTTAGATGCATTTAAACTGATCAAATTTTATTTCAGAGAACAATAAAATTAAATTTTGTTTGATTAAAACCCTGCTAACATGGAAGTACCCAAGAATCATTTGAGGCACATAATGCTTTATGAGTTCAAGAAAGGAAACTCAGCAGCCGAAGCGGCTAGAAACATTCACTCAGTTTATGGAGAGGAATGTGTGAATGAAAGAACTTGCAGAAGATGGTTTGCAAAATTCAGAGGTGGAGATTTCACCCTTGAAGATGAAGATGGAACCGGACGTCCAGTTGAGTTTGATGAAAAGCTTCTTGAAGCAGCCCTTGAAGAAAATCCTGCTTTATCAGTTGAGGAATTGGCAGTGGTTTTCAGTTCAAACCATACAACTGTTCATCGTCATCTTCAACAACTTGGAAAAGTTCCTAAACTTGGAAAATGGGTGACTCATGAATTGTCTGAAAACAACATCAAATCCCGAGTTGACATCTGCTCTTCTCTCCATTCTCGCCAACTTGTTTCACCTTTTTAGGATAGACTTGTGACTGATGACGAAAAATGGATCTTTTATCGAAATGTTAAGCATTGTAGACAGTGGCTTGGTAAAGGGGAAGGACCCCAGCCACAGCCGAGAAGGGAACTTTATGGGCAAAATGTTCTTCTTTCAATCTGGTGGGATCGATAAAGAATAATCCACTTTGAATTCTTACCACCAAATGCAACATTTAATGCTCAAATATACTGTCAGCAATTAGAGCGTTTGAACCAAGCTTTGAGGAAAAAAAGACCTGCTCTAGTGAATCGAAAAGGGGTGATGTTTTATTAGGACAATGCGCGACCACACACAGCAAGAATCACGTCACAAAGATATACGAATTTGGTTGGGAGAAAATACCTCATCCACCTTATTCTCCCGATCTTGCTCCTTCAGACTACCATTTGTTTCGTAGCTTACAGAATCATTTGGAAGAAACAGCTTTTGTAACACAGGAAGAGATTAAAACTGACATTTGTGAGTTCTTCGAATCAAAGCCAAAAGAATTTTACAGTAATGGAATTAGTAAGCTTGTTGATAGATGGAAGGTAGTCATAGATAATCAGGGAAAATACATTGTTGATTGGATCTGTAATTAAATGTATCATTTGGTCACTTGTTTTCTTTATTCAAAATTCGGACAGAACTTATGGGATGACCTGATATATAAAATTCTGTGACTTCCGTTAGTCAGTCCGTTATACCCTCCAAAATAACCATACATTTGAGAGAACTACAAACAGGTAAGGAGGTACAAAGTAAAATTAGATTTAATACGGTGCGTAGTTTAGTGAATTAAATTCTTCTTTTTTTTCTTTTTTTTTTCGGAAAAATTAAAACTTCTATTATTTAACATGCATAGTCCACCCACTATTTTCGAAAACAATTTATCGATTAAAAATTACTTTTTTTTTTAATAAAATTGCTAAATGTTGCATGCTTAAGAGTAAGAAAGCCTAAGAATATATTCTTCGCTGTTAAAAAGTGGGGAGAAAGAAATTTTCTTAAATACTGTTTGACATGAAGTCCTATATACTTAAAGAAATTATTAAAGTCAAAGTATTTTTCGAAACAAATCAGCTTATTCAAATTTCATCGATTGGTTTGTGAAACGGAATGAAACGTAGAGTTTGTAAATCTCGAAAAAGATGTTAGCGATAACTTAACGATAACTTCAACACTGAGGATTTTACGCTCCGGCCTTCTTCACGGGAAACTGGAATTTCAAACAGGACCCATTATTTTGTCCACGGGTGTAAATTGTTCTAATTCCACGTTCCATGCACTTGGATATCTGCTTCATTTAATTTCCCTCTTGAGCTCAATTCTCCAAGTCTTTGTTCCTTCTGCTGTGGCCAGGTAATGAACTCACAACTCTTTGGGTCACGTTTTCTTTTGGATCACTCAACCAACGCTTTTATCCACTCGGCAATATGGATTAAATTACTTTCATCTCCTTGAAGGTCACTCGTATACAGAGACACCGGAAACCCAACGGCCGAAACAACAACAAAGATAAGGACATTAGTCTGAATGTAAATAACTCTCCAAGATTTTGTTCACCTCATCTGTAACCAGGTATTGAACTCAAATCTTTTTGGGTCAAGTCACAGGATTCAACCAACGCTTTTATCCATTGGGCCATGTTCTAGTTGAGTTAAAGGGAGATAACTGATACTGAGACATTCGGAAGAGGCATGTCACGTGGAATTACAACAATCTCCCCCGATGGATGCAATAAAGGCTCCGGTTCGAAATTCCAATCACCTGAAGAAGGCAGGAGCGTTCAACGACCGAAACGTAATGAATCTGGCAGCGAAGATGAGGACAACTGTCCGAACAATGTAAATAATTTAAATAATTAAATAGCTCATGTCGGAAATATAGACAAATTGTAATCATATTCAGAATATAACAGACGTGGGATACCTCAACGTAGTGTAATGGTTAGAAAGCTTAATTATGACTCGGTAATGAGTTCAATTCCCACTGGGTGGCCCCGTACGTTCGGGCTTGTACCGCATCTAAGCTACGCTTAGAAAATAGCTATAATCAGACGTGTACGAAGAAATAGGCTTTCTCTCTATCGAAAGTCAGTTTACTTTTGTGGGGTTTAGATTATGAAGAGAATTGCTCTTCCATCACGAAGTGTTGAATTGTAATGTAGCTGTCTGTTTTGAATTGGGTCGTCGTCATTTGAAAACATGGTAACTTGTCTTTGTTCGTTGCGAGAGAGGGTAGAGGAAGAAAGTACGGCTAAGTCAAATTATGTTAAGGAGCAAAACGCGTGTCGAAAAATAGTTTGGCAATTGTAATGAACGTTTTCATTCATCGAGGCTGTTCTCCTGATCTTGTTTTGTCAGAAACACTTTTTTTTTTAATATCCTTACAGCTTTCCCTGAACGGAAAATGATAGACTAATTATGAAAAGGTAAAAGACTTTTTTTTTTTTCTCATATTTTATGCTTAAGGCATTGATTACTTTAGTGCTTGATGGGATTACGTTTTTGAGAATGAAGGAGACTATTAGCGTGATTGATTATTGTAACCGACCGTAAGTGAATTACATGTCTAAACAAAAGTGACACGAGGTTCATTCAAATCTAATAGCTTCATTTGGCACAGGGGCGTCATTTTGATATGATAGTGAATATGAAACTCACTAAACGTTAATAATGACGAGCTACATTCGTTTAATATCCGATACCGCGACGTCGAGGCTACTGCCAATATAAATAAAATCTTCATAGGTAGCAACTCCCCATTGCACGAAGTCGTAAATATCTCCGAAGCCTTACAGGTACAGTTTAGTAGGAACTGGAAAAAAAAAGTTTATGCCTCTCTCCTACACGTACACGAGTATGTGCACCACATTTAGCCAAGCCTGTAACATATTTACTCTCAGGGGTGGGGCGAAAAAAATAAATATAAAATTTAAAACCTCAGAAAATTCATACTCGTACATAATTTTCTGAAAGACTAAAACTGATCTGAAACATGACACATTATTTAAATTTTTCTGTACTTTACTCTTTGGTTCCCTCTAACTCTCCCTTCTCTGTGCTCTCTCCCTCACTCCCTCCCTCCTCCTCCTCCTCCTCTCTCTCCCTCCCTCCTCCTCCTCACTCTCTCCCTCCTCTCGTCTTCCTCCTCACTCTCTCCCTCCTCTCGTCTTCCTCCTCTCGTCTTCCTCTCTCTCCCTCCTCCTCTCGTCTTCCTCTCTCTCCCTCCTCCTCTCGTCTTCCTCTCTCTCCCTCCTCCGCTCGGTCTTTCTCTCTCCTTCTCTCCCCCCCGTCGCTCGGTCTTTCTCTCCTTCTCTCCCCCCGTCGCTCGGTCTTTCTCTCCCCCCCCGTCGCTCGGTCTTTCTCTCTCCTTCTCCCCCCCCGTCGCTCGGTCTTTCTCTCTCCTTCTCTCCCCCCCGTCGCTCAGTCTTTCTCTCTCCTTCTCTCCCCCCCGTCGCTCAGTCTTTCTCTCCTCCTTCTCTCCCCCCGTCGCTCGGTCTTTCTCTCTCCTTCTCTCCCCCCCCGTCGCTCGGTCTTTCTCTCCTTCTCCCCCTCCATCTCTCTCAGTCTTTCGCTCTCTCTCTCTCCCTCCATCTCTCTTCCCTTTTCTCTCTCTCTCTTCCCTTTTCTCTCTCTCTCTTCCTTTTCACTCTCTCTCTTCCTTTTCTCTCTCTCTCTCTCTTCCTTTTCTCTCTCTCTCTCTCTCTTCCTTTTCTCTCTCTCTCTCTCTTCCTTTTCCTTCTTTTCTCTCCAAATTATTCTATATTATCATGTCTTCCTTCTCTTTACTCACAATGTCTGACTTTGTAAAGCTAAGCAAAGAACGAATGGGACAAAATAGTAATATAATACAAAAATTGTAATAATAATAGTCGATCTCAGATCGATATATCTTTTTTTTATTTTTTCTTTCTCTGCAGTTACCTGATAAATATTCCTCTCTGCACACTGGCACCCTCTCTCTCTTTAACGCGCAGATAATGCTAACCAAAATATTATAATGGGTTATACCCGATACGCATACCTTGTTCAATTGCCTATAAACAACTTGCACATAAGCGTGTAGTAAATTGCTCTAAAATTTTTGAATGTGTACGTACAAGCTCTTAATTCTCTCTCTCTCTCTCCCTCTCCCCCCCAATCAATATAATAATGTAGCTTAACTGTCGGCTACTTTTTGCTGACGAATAAGATATATTTTCGCCCGTACTCTCTCTGATGCACACACCCTAACCCACACTCGTTTATTTGTGCAAATCTCTACACACATAAAATTATTGCAAATGTTTTGATGTCTGTCGAGAGCATTTTATACCCCTCTATCTTGAAGTCAATAATTCTGATGTCTACATATTTCTTGTCCGGGTTCATTTGAAAAAATATCAATGTGAAATCTCAGACGATCTGTCTATGAGTTAATTTTATTGATTTTTTGTTTTTCCTCTAATGTTTTTATGTTGATGCAATTTAAACTCCGGAGAATACTCTTCTCTGCCCCCTCACTCCAAGTTCTGACCGCTATTTACCAGTTTCTGTTGGATGTAGTAAAATCGAAGAATTTACTGACATTGTCTTAAACGATATTCAGATGAAGATTAAGATAGACAAGCAAAAGACACATGAAAAAAGAGTAAAATTCGCCATATTTTGAACAGGACTTTCAATAAGAAATGTTTGGAAGTGAGGATTTGAAAGCTTAAAAAAAATATTGCAAATCACCTAAAATTAAAGAGCATTTCACCCATCATTCCGGACTAATTAAAGCCCAAACACCCTCTAGGACCGAGTGAGATTTAGGGCTTTTCTTACGAAAACCATAACCTCGGGATTATATATATATATATATATATATATATATATATATATATATATTTAAAAATATGATCCAAACGCTACATAAGAGTTCTCATGTTTCAAAACAAGAGCCGAAAACTTCAATATAATTATTTGAATGAAAGTACCAAGCTCTGTTCCATCTTCAAGCTAATTTTTTTTTTTTTTTTTTTTTTGGAATAACTTATTCCTGAAATTTACGCGCTTTATAAGCATATTCATTATTGAAATTAAAATTCAACAAAAAATTTCGCTTGAAGATGGAACAGAGCCTGGTACTTTAATTCAATTTAATTCAAATAATTATATTGAAGTTTTCGGCTCTTGATTTGAAACATGAGAACTCTTATGTAGCGATGGAATCATATTTTTAAATAAATAATTATATTTATGCTCTACATTTGTATCGAACACTATTTTTTAAAAATAATAACAAAAATACTAAAGAACTTTGGATTATTTACCTAACAAGTTCTTTCCTATGTTCTATATATTTTTACTCAAACACACACACACACACATATATATATATATATATATATATACACATATATATATATACATATATATATATATATATAGTAAAATTTAGTAAACAAGATCTTTTTCCATGAGGTTTAACCTGAAAAAGGTGTCATATCTCGTGATAGCCAGTGTTTAGCTTACTTTTTAAATCATTTTAGTCCAAGCCAGGCAATAAAGCCATTTAAACAAGGGGTAACTTAGAGTGAGTAAATATTAGAAAAAGAATGTTTTGATTTAAAAGAAAAAAAAGTAGGTATAATATAGATTAAGAATTAACTCTGAATTTATAACTTCAGAGACTTTAATAGTCTAAATGTATGTTTGTCACCATTTTTTTTAATAGGCTTCGTCGTCATCATCGTCTTAGGAGTCAGAAATTACATTTTGTTTTCTAACTAATCTGGAATGTCTATATTTCTGAGAAGGTATTTTAACTATTTACATTGTTCGAGCTGTTGTCCTCATCTTTATTGTCATTCACAGTGTGTATCACTTGAAGAATGCCGATGCGTACAACTAACGAAACGTCGTGAATATGATATTTATTATAACTATTGCATATATTTATCGTGCATATTAATTTATGAAATTAATTGTAAGCTTGTGCCTTAATCTGAATCATTAATGCACTCAACTAATTTTTGTAGGAATTGACGTTTCAAATTTCTCTTGCCAATATCTGTATTACAGTTTCCTATTTAGTTTGTACAAATAATATATTCAAAACAGCACCTTCATCACGAAAAAATATAAGCCCTTTAGAATATTAATTAAGATCTTTTCTTTAGGAATTTCTTGCCTTGTATTTTCTTCACGGTTAATATCTGCTTTCCATCTATCAAATTGTAGAGGGAATCCTTGTGTTTATATTTTTTTGCCTACATTTCATAGGAAAAGGTTTGCGTTGAAGGTATTAATTTTACTTGTGTCTACCGGAAGAAATCGTTATGTGTCAAGTTTTTTGATAAGATCACAGAGAACGAGAAAAATGGCGAACGCATTTTGGTTTCTTCCAACCTTGCTCTGTTATCGACATAATGGCGTTTCTTCCACTCGTTTCATTTTAGCTCCTTAAAGCGCTTATCGGCATAACTACAATGTGGTCCGAAAGTCTTGTCATAAGAACAATAGAACAAGCAACACAAAACACATGTGCAAGATCATTGACGCTGTCACATATCGTGAAGATCTTTATGAACACCATCACTTTCGTGGTTCAAAATTATGCGAATTATGTCCAGTGTAATATTTTACGAAGCTGTGCTTTGTTGTTTGAAATCGAAAATTATATTATGTAGGGGTAACAAGACTTTCGGACCACTTTTTCGATTATTGTTTCCGACAGTTAACAATGCGAATTAATATTTACCAGTGGTTTTAGTGTCAAGAGCTTCCAATGATTTAAGCGTGTATAAATACTTGAAAAGAAAAACGAATTTAGGCTGTTAGACGCGCGAAGCATTGAACGATTTACGAAGATAAATATTGTCTTTTCCTTATCTATCTAATTAATGTGCCCAAGTGAAAAGACAATAAAAATAAACCCAGTTCGTCAACAAGATAATATAATGCATTTCAGGAAGAATTCTAATGAGTTTTCCGACATTACCGCAGTAGGCCATGAAAATGCCCGGGAATGGGTTTATCAATCATCTTCTGCTAAAACCCACTCCGCCTAATTCCAGGATATACTCAGAGCCGACCGCCAAAAAAAAAAAAAAGTGCATTTGTAGCGATGATTAAAACGCTGAACGTTAAGCAATATTGATGGTTGGGTGGATGAAATTTAAAACGGGATATTATTCCACATTTCTCGTTTAGTAGTTCTTTTCCATTCTCTTTTTCAAATCTCAAGTGATGTGCTAAAAACTGGTAGTCATTTTTGGAGGCTTTACGAAATCGCTTTCTGAAATCCGAGATACTTTGCTTTATCCAAGAAAACTTCTCAGAAGTCAGTCTCTAAAATATAAGCCGACTACATGGCTCTTCTTGACAAAGGAATATATATTTTCTCTTTGTCGTTAGGGCCTGGGCTGAAATAAGTTACATGTAAAATAGGCCCGCTGGTTGCTAGAGTTATCCGCTCTTGAAATAGTTATTTTAAATACAGCCACCAAATAAGATACTTTTTTTTTGTAACAGTGCTATGATTTTCTTCGATTGTAATACATGTTAGAGGCGATATTTGCACATATGTCCGTCCATTTCTCTCTACCAATATGTCCGCCTACTTAAACAAGTGAGAACTAGTAAATTCCAATCCCGCCAGTTTCGTCTATGTGACATAATAACTCTTTCTAAATTTCCAAATTATTCATCTGGATATCTGTCTACCCAAGTGCACATAGCTCAGCGGATGTAATCGTTGGTTGAAGTAATCCAGAGATTTGATCAAAAAAGCTGTAAGTTCAATCCCGAGCCACAGTACAGCTCAACTTGGAGAGTTGAGTTGAGTTAGTAAAAGGAAATAAGATATCAAGAAGGGGCATGGCACGTGGAGATAGAACAATCTGCACCGGCAGATGAAATAGTGTTCGTTTCGAAATCCAACGCAATACCTGGTCGGGAGCATACAACGCCCGAAACGTCGTGAATATGACACTATAGATGAGGACAACACTTCAAACAATGTAAATAGTGTAAATATTTATTTAGAACGTGCATGTAATTCGCGAATTCTCTAAAGAAAATTCTTTTTTTTTTTTAATGTTGAATGGAATCTGATTTCTTATTTAATTAAATAAAATTTGAAAGAAAAATTGATAGCACTCGCATCGCACATCTTTTAACGTATCAACTTCGTCTATTACCTGACTTGGGATTATATCGCGCAGCATTCAATTTTTGAAATTCAATTTATTTTAACAATTGCTATTTTTTCTCTCTTAATAAATCCGTAAGACGAGTTAATCAAAATTACGAAAGAAATCTATTTATGCTGACGTCATGCGAATTGATGAAATCGTTTCCAGTCAAATACCACATCGATTTGCCGTTGATAAAATTTTAGTCATATAGAATTTCGTCTGAAATTCTACGAGAATGTGTTGACACTATACCATGCATTTTCTTTGTCAGGTACGAGTTTTTAGACATTATACTATACATTTTTTTTTGTCAGGTACGTGTTGATAATACACAAAAATTCTAAGTTGTCTGTATTCCTATATTTTGATTAGACTTTGATGATGGATTTACTGAAGGGTTGTTTTTATTATACATTGATTCTTTTGGTTCATTTTCTTTCCTTTACTTTATTGAACAATAAAGAGTGTGAGACTCACTTCTGCAAGAAGGTTTCCAACTAGCGTCCAGTTGGCTGACAAAAATAAACAGGGTTGTAACTCAATACATTTCCATCTATATGTATTGTAAATAAATATAATTATGGCACAAGGCCGAAAAGGGGGAATGAGTTGAGGCTGGTTCTCACTATCTTATACC